ACTACATTTATGAATTGAACCGAACCAATTGATTCTTAAATAATCCAACCCAAATTAAGACCAACTTTATTACCTAACTCAATCCAACTCATGCGTTTTGGGTCTGGTTGCTCGAGTTTTTCAAATTGCCAGATTGTTTGTTCAAACCCTAACAAGGATATATTATAAAATAATCTAATTCTAATGCCTAAAAAAATACATATTCACTCTATATATTTATTTTGATAGATTCCTCCTAAAGATCTAGTACCAAATTATAAAGCTACCACTAACCTCTTGATCCTTTTATGTTGTTTGTAATTTTCAGTTAATATAAATAATAATTTTAGAACTTCAAGGTTAACTTTAGGTAAAAACAAAAATTTCACAATTATTTTTAAATAATTTTTTCAAAATTGCTTACTCCTTAATAAATTTAATAAAGCAAAAAATAATTACTCAATATCTCAAATGATTTAAATGGATATGTGATAGATTAGTTAGTGTTAAGAGGAATTCTATTTTGTTATTTCATTTTGAAAAATACTTAGATGCTATTAGTATCCATCTTTTACCAACTAGCTGTGATAAATTTTGTTGTTCTTCCAAAGAATGAAAATTTGTAAGTCTAATACTTGTGTATCCATTACTTTATGGCAAGTGGGCATTCAATCAGAGCGGCACCAATGGTGGATGGAGACAGACGATGAGTGTTGACCGTCACAAAGGCGAGAGACTAAGAGAGAAAAGGTGGAAGAGATGCATTCATGTATAGAGGTAAGTGATTGTGAGGGAGATCGGAGATGATAAATGGAATTGTAAGTGAAAGAGTGAAGTGGAAGACTGAGAAACCCTAAAGAATAATATATATGTATGTATAATTTCGTTTCAGTTTAAGTTGACCTGCAATTTTTTTTAATTGTGAATCGAACCGAACCTATCGATTTTTAAATAATCCGATCTAAATCAAGACCAACTTAATTAAATAACCAATTCAACTAATGCGTTTTGAGTCGGGTTGCTCGAGTTTTTCAAATTGCCAGGTTGTTTGTACAAACCCTAACAAGGATTATAAAACAATCTAATTATAATACTAAAAAAAGTACATATTCTCTCTATATATTTATTTTGATAGGTTCCTGGTAAAGATGTAGTACCACATTATAAAGCTATCACTAACCCTTTGGACGACCTACAATTTATTGCCCAATAATTCCAATCTCAACCATCTTAAACAACCAAAATTTGACAACATTTACAAAGA